ATAAGCATCTAAACTATGACAGAAGCTGAACAAGTAAATACACTTCAGTTCACAATTAGGAGTAATATTGTTACTGTTTGGCAAATGGTAAATGAAACATCAGACAAATGTGAAGATGTATTGAGAGCCTTTGACAATTGTTTCAAGCTTAGAACTAACAGAAGTGTTCAGCATCCATGTGAATTCACAGATGCTTTCATAACGCTCCCCACAGGTTAGCAAAGAGATGAGACTATAGTGACCTAAACTCAGAATTCAAAAGGGACCGGATTATTGAAGGCATTACTGATGAGCCTTTGTCAGATTTATTCCAGCCCAAAGAAGACTTCACTCTGTAGAAAGCCATTCAGATGGTGAATGAAGCAGATGTCCAAAAACAAAAACTAGTATATTTTGAGTTGGCTACATTGGAATGAAAAATTTGTTTCATACAATCAGAGATGGAAAATCCTGACTGTACTGGTTTGGCAGAACTGCTTTCCATTGCTATCAAAGCTGAAGACAGTTCAGATTCCAAGTGGCAACGAAGTTCAAAACAAATTATAGTCAAAGAGACAACAATTGTGTCACTTATGCTGTTTGAGAGGATGTACAGTGGCAGTTGTAATTGGTTCTATTGTCTACCTACATTGAGTCAGATTGCAAAAGTATTATTCTGTAGTTGTGGTGGCTCTCCCACACTTCACTGCTGTAATGGAAGATTTCCTGGAGAATTCCTTCTCATTTCCTGACAGCACAGTAAACAAAAATTCCAACAAATTTACCATCAGGTGCTGAGCTGATTAGAAATGGACGAAGTCAACTTGTCCAAAGAACATTCCCCAAAATCAAGAAAGAACAAAACATCAAGCAAGAATGCATCTGTAATTGGTAAAGTGAATAATCTGGGTTTACTGAGAATCCAACCTCTGAGAGAAAAGGAGAAGACTTGAAATATTCAGGGAGTTGATGTTAAAATACAATCTGCTTCAGCTCAGATTTACAGGTGGCACGATAAACAAAACCCACTCACACAAATTGAAGGTATGGAGTACAGAACTCCATGGAAACACCACTACAAAGACACAAACAATGTACATTGATCAAAGATTCTGCAAAAAAAAAATTAGCTCCCTCAGGGATCACTCCAACACCTGTAGACAACTGAAAACTCTCCATAAAGGAAACACAGAAGGTTAAAGAGCCTTGATTTCGAGAGAGAACCACACGCACCTCAGATGATCAGGAAGACAATCCAAGTTATTACCTTCGACCCAACAAGCCATTATTCTTCCAAATCTGAAGAGAGTACATTTGGGGAGAATAATGAAGCCTCCAGATCATCTGGATATGTAAAGTCAAAGATATGGGGGGGAGATGGAGTATTGGTAATTGTAAGTGTATGAACAGATGCATCATAATGTAGTCATTATCGGGGAGTAAAAACGTGAGGACGATGTTATCGATGGGTCTGAAAGGGTTAGTACTGGTCTGAGTGGAACAGGCACCAGCCAGACTGAGGATGCTCGAGAGACTTGCTGGTTTGGTAGGCTGATGGAGAAAGTGAAGTCGCATGGGGTCCAGGGTGTACTAGCTAGATGGATAGAGAACTGGCTGGGCAACAGGAGACAGAGAGTTGTAGTGGAAGGGAGTTTCTCAAAATGGAGAACGATGACCAGTGGTATTCCAGAGGGATCCGTGTTGAGACCACTGTTGTTTGTGATATACATAAATGATCTGGAGGAAGGTATAGATGGTCTGATTAGCAAGTTTGCAGATGACACTAAGATTGGTGGAGTAGCAGATAGTGAAGGGGACTGTCGGAGAATGCAGCAGAATATAGATAGATTGGAGAGTTGGGCAGAGAAATGGCTGATGGAGTTCAATCCAGGCAAATGCGAGGTGATGCATTTTGGAAGATCCAATTCAAGAGCGAACTATACAGTAAATGGAAAAGCCCTGGGGAAAATTGATGCACAGAGAGATCTGGGTGTTCAGGTCCATTGTACCCTGAAGGTGGCAATGCAGGTCGATAGAGTGGTCAAGAAGGCATACGACATGCTTTCATTCATCGGACGGGGTATTGAGTACAAGAGTTGGCAGGTCATGTTACAGTTGTATAGGACTTTGGTTCGACCACATTTGGAATACTGCGTACAGTTCTGGTTGCCACATTACCAAAAGGATGTGGATGCTTTGGAGAGGGTGCAAAGGAGGTTCACCAGGATGTTGCCTGGTATGGAGGGTGCTAGCTATGAAGAGAGGTTGAGTAGATTAAGATTATTTACATTAGAAAGACGGAGGTTGAGGGGGAACCTGATTGAGGTCTACAAAATCATGAGAAGATTTTTCCCAGAGTGAGGGACTCAATTACTAGGGGTCACGATTTCAAGGTGAGAGGGGAAAAGTCTAAGGGAGGTATGCATGGAAAGTTCTTTACTCAGAGGGTGGTGGGTGCCCGGAACGCGTTGCCAGCGGAGGTGGTAGAGGCGGGCACGATAGCGTCATTTAAGATGTATCTAGACAGATACATGAATGGGCAGGGAGCAGAGGGATACAGATCCTTGGAAAATAGGTGACAAGTTTAGATAGAAGATCTGGATCAGCGCAGGCTTGGAGGGCTGAAGGGCCTGTTCCTGTGCTGTAATTTTCTTTGTTCTTTATATAGTAAGGAGAGAGCTTGTCAGAGACAGACTCAGGGCTGGTGTGCTCCAACAGTCCCTGTATGATCACAGAAATGTTATGGTGCAGAGGGAAGCCATTCAGTCCATCATTGTCTGTGCTGGTTCTATTTCCTAATATCTTTGTCCCATATCGTTGCACACCATTTCTATCCAAATAACCATCCAAATGCCCAGATTAAACCTGCGTCCATCATATTTCTAGGTGATATGTTATATACCCACATCACCCTTGTTCTATTTACACATCACTTGTTTGTGTTCATTTTCTGAGTAGGAAAAGTTTTTCCCCATCGAATCGATCCAGCCCAGTCATGATTTTGATAATCTCAGTCAGATCTCAGCCTTCATCCTGCAACAGTGCCAGCTTCTTCCATCTAATGTTGGTATTATTCATGTGGTCTGTAAACAGCTGAGGCAACGTCAGAAACTTCATGATTTCCTGAATGAGACTCCTCAGTTCAGTTGGAAAGGCTGATATCCTCATCCACTTGAGATCTGGTAGACCAGGAGAAACCCACACTCACCAGGTCCAGTAAGCAATTAGAAAGACAAACAGCCTTTATTGCAAGGGGATTGGGGTACAGCAGTTAACAGGTCTGGCTACAATTGTTCTAGGTTCAGTTAAGACCACATCTGGAATGCTGTGTGCAGTTTTGATCTCCATATTTAGGGAAGGATATACTAGCATTGGAGTTGATACAGTGAATGTTCACACATCTGGAACAGTGGGGGTGGGACCCTACTTTATCTGGGGTGAAGTGAACTGGGTTGATATTCTTTGGAGATAGTAGGAACTGCCGATGCTGGAGAATCTGAGATAACAAGGTGTGGAGCTGGATGAACACAGCAGGCCAAGCAGCAGCAGAGGAGCAGGAAGGCTGACGTTTTGGGCCTGGACCCTTCTTCAGAAATGGGCCCAGCTTTCCTGCTCCTCCGATGCTGCCTGACCTGCTGCGTTCAACCAGCTCCACACCTTGTTATCTCAGATATTCTTTGGAGTTTACAGCAATGAGAGGTGATCTCATTGAAAGTATTTACGATACTGAAGGAGTTTGACAGGGTAACACACAGAGAGACATCGTTTCCCTCACTCTGAGGAATCTAGAACATGGCGACACAGCCACGGGATAAGGAGCCAATCATTTGAGACTGTGATGGAAGGCAAATTACTTTGCATTCCGAGGGTTGTGAACCTTTGGAACTCTCTCCTGCAGAGGGTTTTAGATGCTCCATCGTTGGACACACTTAGAGCTGAGGGAGGCAGGGGTTTTGATGTCTCAGGGAAGGAAAGGTAAAGTCAGCACAGGGCTGCTCTCTCATTGGAGAGAGAGAGATGATGGGTGGTGGTTTAACCTGAGGGTCACTGTGCCTCGGACAAGGGGAGAGGTTGAGAAGGAGAGTCCTTCGATGGTAACCTCAGCTGGTGCAGGACTGAACCCACACAATGTCAGTGTCATATTGCATTACAAACCAGTGATCCAGCCAACTGAGCTAACCTCAGGGAAATTGAAAAATCAACCACAACTGTATTGAATGGTACAGCAGACTCAATGGGCTGAATGGTTTACTCCTGGTTTTTGTGTCCTCTGACAGTACAGCTGGTGTCAATGCACGGGGTGGACTCATGTCTATAAGCTTCTGATATTGGGACGAGAGTCACACAGACATGACAGTTTAACACAGAAGTTGACAATGTCTTTCATACCTTTCTCCCTCTCATCCTTTGCAGATTTTACTTTCTCAGTCTGCACTCTTTTAATCATCTCATCATCTCTCTCCACACTTTCCTCCTGATGGTTAAACTCTAAACTCACCCCAATTGACATATCAGGAGCCACATCAGCCCCTAGTGCTGGGACGACTGAGAGTTCAGTCATAGTTTGGCCACTTGAGACTCATCACAAAAACATCATATCAATGAACATGATTAAACACGTGACAAAGAAATATTCAGACTGGAAACAGATGTGACAACAGGGCACACTCACAATCACAAGACTTTTAATAAATACAGGTTAATGTTTGCAAAATTGATTCAAAAAGAGTGATTAATAATTGTTTGAAAAAGTGTACATTTAAATAGAATCTGAAGATTTGACTAGACAGCCTTGTGTTGCAGTGCTGGTATCAAACTGTAGTGAAACAGAGATCTTTTTTAGTAATATAAGATTGACAATAACCAATGGACATCACTGGCTGAGCCCAGCATTTATTGCCTTTCCCTTTTTGCCCCTTGAGAAGGTGGGGGTGAGCTGCCTTCTTGAACCGCTGCAGTCCATGTGCTGTATGTTGACCCACAGTGTCATTAGGGAGGAAATTCCAGGATTCTGACCCGGTGACAGTGAAGGAACGGTGATATATTTCCAAGTCAGGATGGTGAGCGGTTTCAAAGAGGCAGTTCACCACTACCTTCTCCAGGGCAACTAGGGATAGACCATAAAATGCTGGTCTAATCAGTATGCCTACATCCCATTGACGAATCAAAGGAATTGCCCGAGAGTGGAGTATAACCCAGAGAGAAAGCAGTGATCTGGGAGGTTGTGATATAAGAGACTGAGGGCTGTCACATTGGACTGTCTCCATGTGCTCAGACCCTCTCCTCCATCTGTGTCCCATTACCCAACCTGTGACTGGATCACCCATTGCAGGACCCGCTCAGCATCGGCAGCAAGTCCCTGGATGAGACCAGTCAGTAACCACTTTGCGACTGTGAATGCAATTCCTCCCGAAGCAACGGGGCCAAAAACGGGAAACCCTCGGATCAGATACTCTCCAGCCATCAATCCCATTCCGGGACCACTGGACAGGGACTTGTACAGGAGGGAAATGTTTATGTGTGCCACTTGGGGTGACCGCATTTGGGCCCTCAAATCCTTCAGTGGCTTCTGAATGGCAGCTGACATTCTCTTGAGGGATTCCTCATCTAGTCCAAAGCACTTGTAATAAAAGGGCAGTTTCTTATTCAATAAAGTCGCATCACAGGCAAGTGCTACCCCTGGGACAGGAACAGCTGCAGCGCAAGACGAAATCAAAGCTAACATCCAAACCTCTGCACTCAGTGAATCCTTCCTCTTCGCAATTAATCTGGAACACAGTGGGTGGATGCTTTTCAGGAATGCTTGCTTCCTGAACTTGGGCAGTTCCTTTTTTAACGTCTCTTGCAGCTGCTTTGAATCATAATCTTCAAAGAAACGGCAAGATATGAGGAAGACCTGAGGAGAGAGCACTCCTTGTTCTGTCAGATAGTTCACTGCTTCCTCGGTAATCTCGTTTTTTACCTCGTGTTGGTCTGTCAATGCTGCTTGCTTTCTCCAACATGGTGTGATGTCATTGTCAATCTTACTGCGAACAAAGTAGAAATGCGCACCACTCTCCTGGATCCACTTGGCAAGGATGGCATGACTTTCCTTGAAACGTTCTGAAGCCACAATGATGAAGAAGTCATACCTGTGGAAGCCCACCTTCTCCCTGTAGCTCTCCAGTTGGAAATTAGGGGTTCCTAATCCAGGGAGGTCCCACAGGAGAACGTGATGGAGCGTGTGGTGTGGGTAAGAGGTTGGGGCCAATGTGGTTTCTGTCGCTCCAGTAGCAGCAGCTCCAGGCTGGTTATCAGAAACACCGCACAGAGCATTAACCAGCGAGGATTTCCCAGCACCAGCCTCCCCGATCACACCGACATTGACTGTAATATCATCCAGGTTCGACAGGAAGCTCAATATCTGAGAGATCAGGTCAGGTAGCCCACCCACTTCAAATGCCTCCTTCAGACTGTCCCGTACTGTGTGGTCTACACGATCAAGTATGTCACCTCTAGGAATAAGAACATCAAACACAATATCAGCCAGGAAATAGGGCACCAATCTATCCCTCAGCGCCGATCCTCCGACAGCGCGGCGCTCCCTCAGCGCCGACCCTCCGACAGTGCGGCGCTCCCTCAGCGCTGACCCTCCGACAGTGCCCACTCCCTCAGCACTGACCCTCTGACAGCGCGGCGCTCCCTCAGCGCCGACCCTCCGACAGCGCGGTGCTCCATCAGCGCTGAACCTCCGACAGCGCAGCGCTCCCTTGCTGCTGCAACAAACTTTGCTTTTTGGGAGGCATCTCACCTTCCTGATTTTTTATTATTCATTCACGGGATGAGGGCTTCGCCAGCCAGGCAGCATTTATTTCCCATTTCCTAATTGCCTAGAGGGCAGTTAAGAGTCAACTACATTGTCGTGGGTCTGGAGTCACATGTAGGCCAAACCAGGTAAGGATGGCAGTTTCCTTCCCTAAAGGACATTAGTGAACCAGATGGGTTTTTCCTGACAGTCAACAATGGATTCATGGTCATCATTAGATTCTTAATTCTAGACATTTTATTGAATTCAAACTCCACCATCTGCCATGGCAGGATTCGAACCCGAGTCCCCAGAACGTTACCTGTGCTGGGTTAACTAGGCCATCGCCTCTCCATTGTCCCAGTGACAGGACGCTGCCACCCAATATGTCACAGGCACAACAGCGGGATGTTGTCAATGTGGAATGTGAGTGAGGAGAGTGGGCCGTGAGTGAGGAGGGTGGGCCGCGGGGGAGGAAACAAAAGCAGAAATTGCTGGAGAAACTCAGCAGGTCTGGCAGTACCTGTGGAGAGAGAAACAAAGTTAATGTTGCAGGTCCAGTGACCCTTCTTCAGAAATGCTAGTGGCTGAGAAAAAGTGATATCAACGCTGAAGACAACCCTGAAGGGTGGAGGGCGTAAGTGTAAAAGTGGAGATTGAGTCCAGAAAGAAATGAAAGGGGTAGGTGAACAAGGGGATTATGGATAGCAGGTCAGGACAGAATAAGAGATAATAAGAACTAAGAGTGAGAAAGTGCTGAATGCAACCACATAATGTGATAATGGGCCTAGAAGTATATTGGAACAAAAACAGAAGTTGCTTGAAAAGCTCACAGATCTGTGGAGAGAAATCAGAGTGAACGTTTCAGGTCCAGTGACCCTTCCTCAGAACTGACCCTTCCTCTTTTGGTTTTTATTTAGTGATAACAAGCCTGGGTTTGGGGCTGGGTAGAAACCACAGAAGGATGGAATCAGGCCCTAACATTATTGAACTTGATATTGAGTCCGGAGGGCTGCAGGGACCCCAAGTGGAAAATGAGGTGTTTTTCTTCCAGCTTTCACTGAGCTTTGCTGGAACCCTGCAGCGAGCCTGCGGAAGGCGGACAAGGGAGGGGAGGGGAATATGTGTCTGGTGGTGATATCTGCTGAAGGTAATGGGAATTGGCAGCTAATGATCCTCTGGATGTGGATGCTGATGGGATGGTAGGTAAGGACGAGGGGAACCCTATCGCTGTAGTGGGAAGGAAGAGAAGGGGTGAGAGCAGAAGTGCGGAAGATGGGTCAGACCCAGCTGAGAGCCCTGTCAACAACCATTATGGGGGAATCCTTAGTTGAGGAAGAAGGTGGACATTGCAGAGATGGGGAGTTTGGTGGGTGGGGAGGTGGGATTGGGGATGGGACTGGTGTGGAGAGGAATTGGGGAGGTGGAAAAGGGCTGGAGGTTGGAGAGGGATGGAGTGGAGGAGGGTCAGTGGATGTGACGAAGGCCGTGGCCAGGTTCAGTAAATGAGGAGGGGTCATTTCCCAACAGGCACCCTCACCCGGGAGGGGCTTCCGGGGACAAATTCCCACATGAGCCTCAGAGCCCAAGGGCAGGTTCTGGTTTTCCAAAGCAAGTTGTAATCAGGAGGCCCCCTTCCCAAGAGGGTAATGGAAGAAGCCTCCAGAGGAACTTTCCGAAGGGAATCAGACAGGGACCTGGCGGACAAGATTTGACAGTGGTGGGTAGGAACTGGATCAACATCCTCATCCAATTGTTTATCAACTAGCGCCCGGTTCATCCACCTGGAGAGGGAACCTCCAATTCACTCACTTGATCATCTCAGGATGGTTCTTAATCTGTGACCAAAGTAACTGAAACTGAAACTTCTCGATATCAAGATTACTCAATATGTACACGGTGGGTTTCAGAACACCTTCCTTGCACAGGCAGGTGACACAGAACTCTCGGATCTCCTTCAGGAACTTGCTTTCTTTATAATCAGATTTATGACGCCGTTTATAAGCCGCAAGATCACTTTCAATCTTGTTACGGACAAATAAAACCTTCTTGCCCATGTCCTGAAGGGTCTTTGCAAGTTGACCATGGTGATCCTTGAAGATTTCGGAGGCGATGATAATGATGATCTCATAATCTTTGCCATTAACCTCCTTCAGATACTGTTCTGGCTGCACATTGGGCCTGATGGGAGGAAGTTCCCAGATCCTGACATTGGAATATCTGGGGAAGGAGTATACCACAGGCTGTGTACATGGCTCTTGCTGTCCAACCTTCGCTGCTCCCTCATCGTCAGTCTGAAGACCTCGTACAGCATTGATCAAAGACGATTTCCCTGACCAGCGATCACCAAAAACAGCCAGGTCCAGTCCAGGCCTCTCAGTACAACCCTGGGCTCTAAAACAGAAAGACATTCTTATTAAGTGTCCCCAAAACTATTTATTTAGTTTATTCACTCATGGGACGTGGGAGTCACTCACTGGACAGGATTTATTGCCCGTCCCTAGTTGCCCCTTGAGAAGGTGGGGGTGAGCTGCCTTCTTAAACCGCTGCAGTCCTCCCACTGTGGGTTGACCCACAATGCTATTAGGGAGGGAATTCCAGGATTTTGACCCAGCGACAGTGAAGGAACAGCGATATATTTCCAAGTCAGGATGGTGAGGGGCTTGGAGGGGAACTTCCAGGGGGGTGGTGTTCCCATGTATCTGCTGCCCTTGTCCTTCTTAATGGAAGTGGTCGTGCGTTTGGAAGGTGCTGTCTGAGGATCTTTGGTGAATTTCTGCAGTGCATCTTGTAGATAGTACACACTGCTGCTACTGAGCGTCGGTGGTGGAGGGAGTGGGATGTTTGTGGATGTGGTGCCAATCAATCAGCTGCTTTGTCCTGGATGGTGTCAAGCTTCTTGAGTGTTGTTGGGGCTGCACTCATCCAGGCAAGTGGGGAGTAGTCCATCACACTCCTGACTTGTACCTTGTAGATGGTGGACAGGCTTTGAGGAGTCAGGAGGTGAGTTACTCGCCACAGTATTCCCAGCTTCTGACTGTTCCTGTAGCCACTGTATTTATGTGGTGAGTCCAGTTGAGTTTCTAGTAAATGGTAATCCCCAGAATGAGGGTCAGCCTTCCTGCTCTCTGATGCTGCTTGGCCTGCTGTGTTCATCCAGCTCTACACCTTGTTACCCCAAGAATGTTGATAGTGGGGGATTCAGTGATAGTAAAGCCATTGAATGTCAAGGGACAGTGGTTAAATTGTCTCTTATTGGTGATGGTCATAGCCTGGCATTTGTGTGGCATGAATGTTACTGATAACTGCACAATCTCTCTTTTTGGGCCAGACCTTTCATCTCTGGAATCAATCCAATGAACCTGATGATGACCACAAAACCACTATTGACTGTCATTAAAAACCCATCTGGTTCACTAATGTCCTTTAGGGAAGGAAACTGCCATCCTTACCTGGTCTGGCCTACATGTGACTCCAGACCCACAGCAATGTGGCTGAGTCTTAGCTTCCATGAACCACATTTCTCTAGCATTTCCTATTTTTGTCTTAATTCCTTCAGTGCCCAAAAGTCAGCTGGTCTTTGCTGTGACCTTGCTCAGTGACTGAGCATGTACAGATCTCCGGAGAACACAATTACCATTGAGTGAAAAAAACCTCCTCATCTCAGTCCCAAATGGCCTGCCCCTTATCCTGAGATTTTCATTCATAGAATCCCTGCAGTGTGGAAACAGGCCATTCAGCCAAACAAGTGCACACTGCCCCTCCGAGAGCATCCCATCCTGACCAATCCCCCTACCCTTACATTTATCTAACCCACCTAACCTAAACACCCCTCAGCACTCTGGGCAATCCACCTAAACTGCACACCTTTGGGCTGTGGGAGGAAACCACAGCACCCAGAGGAAACCCATGCAGACAAGGGGAGAATATGCAAACTCCACACAGACATTCACCCGAGCGTGGAATCGAACGCCGGTCCCTGGCGCTGTGAGGCAGCAGTGCTAACCACTGAGCCACCGTGATGCCCTTTTGTCCCTGGTTCTAGAGTCATGGGGAAAACCATTCTCTGCACAGCCACCTGGCCAAGCCCTGAGGAAATTTACTGTTTCAGTGCGGCTGTATCTCACTCTTTGCAATGTCAGACAACACCAAGCTGGCTCACTCAATGCTGTACGTACCTGTTGAGCTCCTTGATCTTCTTTTCGAGACTGTCCTGGAGCAGGGAGAACTGGTAGATCTCAGGCGTGGTGTTAGACACAAGGAAAACTGAAGAGGGCTGTGCACCTCTCTCTGACAGATATTCAACACATGCTGAGGTGATACTGTCTAGAAATCTATTCAGATCATTTATGGAGCTAAACGTGGATGCGCACCGTTGTGAATCCTTATCAATGTTGGTGCGGACAAAGTAGCATGGCTTGTCCTTCGTCTGAGCTTCCTTGGCAACATTCACATCCTCCGAGGCAAACTGATCCACTGAGGAAACAATTATGAGAATGTCATACGGGTCCAATTTGGAGCAACTCAGGTAGTTTGACTTGAACTCCCAGAAGGTTACGTTTGGGTATCTGGGATGGTTGTACTGATATTTGGGTGGAGATGTTGAGAGTTCCTGCATGTCCTCCTCACCTCGCAAAGCTTGGATCAGTGAGGTCTTTCCTCCTGCAGGGGGCCCCGTCACTGCAATCCACACAGCATCTGGCCTCTTGGAGCTGATCCACGAGCCCATTGGGAAATCGTTCACAGCAACACAGTCACCAGTACAAGGCCATCTCCCTGATGACAGCAAACAACATCAGGGAATATTAATCAGGGACAGCACAGGGTTAGATACAGAGTGAACTCCCTCTACACTGTCCCCCCGCCACCCTCCATCAAACACTCCCAGGACAGGGACAGCACGGGGTTAGATACAGAGTAAAGTTTCCTCTACACTGTCCCCACACATTGCTTTCTTTCACACTGCTTCCAGTTGATTTTTTTGTCTCTCTGATTTCCACAGAGCTCTTCAATCAGTCTCAGTTTCTGGTGGGCCAGCAATTAATGGAGAGAACCAGTGATCTTGTTTTCTATCAGTTCTTCGGATGACAGCGTGTGCAGCACACTATCTGTGCCAGCTCTGGGAATGATCTCCAGACAGTGTGACTCTCCCTGCCCCCTGACCTCCCGACACCTCCCCCACTCACCTCCCTAACCATCACCCCTCCCCACCCGCCGCATCCCTGCACATTTCTCCTTTTCCTGTCATACAGCCATAGAGACATACAGCACGGAAAACAGACCCTTCGGTCCAACTCATCTGTTCCGACCAGATCCTAAATGAATCTAGTCCCATTTGCCAGCATTTGGCCCATATCCCTCTAAAACCTTCCTATCCATGTACCCATCCAGATGCCTTTTAAATGTTGTGATTGTACCAGCCTCCACCACTTCCTCTGGCAGCTCATTCCATACACGCACCACCCTCTGTGTGAAAAAGTTACCCCTTAGGTCCCTTTTAAATCTTTCCCCTCTCACCTTAAACCTATGTCCTGTAGGACTCCCCTACCCTGGGAAAGAGACCTTGACTTTTACCCTATCCATCCCTCATTATTTTATAAATCTCTAAGGTCCCACCATAGTCATATAGACCTTTGCTGCAAAATCTACACATTGTATTAAGTCACCATAAAACAAGTTAACTCAAATAAGAGGATCAATATCTGTACTTTCTTCAGAAAACTCAACCTAAGTCAGTGAGACACGATTTCCCAGGCACAAAGCCATGATGACTATCCCTAATCAGTCCCTGCCTTTCCAAACACATGTAAACCCTGACTCTCAGGATTCCCTCCAACAACTTGCCCACCACCGATGTCAGGCTCACCGGTCTTTAGTTCCCTGGCTGCTCCTTACCACCTTTCTTGAATAGTGGCACCACATTAGCCAACCTCCAGTCTTCCAGCACGTCACCTGTGGCTATCGAAGATACAAATATCTCAGCAGGAGCCCAGCAATCTCTTCCCCACCTTCCCACAGAGTTCTAGGGTACACCTGATCAGGACCTGGGGATTTATCCACCTTTATGCATTTTAAGCACCTCTTCCTCTGTAACATGGACATTTTTCAAGACGTCACTATTTGTTCACCCAAGTTGTCTTGCTTCCAAATCGTTCTCAATAAATATCTGGAATTAAGAATCTAATGATGGCCATGAATCCATTGTCAATTGTTGGGAAAAACCCATCTGGTTCACTAATGCCCTTTAGGGAAGGAAATTGCCATCCTTACCTGGTCTGGTCTACATGTGACTCCACACCCACAGCAATGTGGTTGACTCTGAACTGTCCTCTGGGCAATTAGGGATGGGCAATAAATGCTGCCTGGTCAGCAACACCCTCATCCCGTGAATGAATAAAGTGAAAAAAAACATTTGAAATCACAAGCTTTTTGAGTGCTGCTGACGAAGGGGCGATGCTCCAAAAGCTTGTGATTTCAAATAAACCTGTGGAACTATAACCTGGCAGTTTCTGATGAAGGGTCTAGGCCCGAAACGTCAGCCTTCCTGCTCCTCTGATGCTGCTTGGCCTGCTGTGTTCATCCAGCTCTACACCTTGTTATCTCGAACTATAACCTGGTGTTGTGTGACTCCTGTCCTATTTTCCAGAGATATCTCATGTCCCCTTTTTGCCCTCCTGATTTCCCTCGAGTATACTCCAACTGCCCTTACACTCCTCTAGGGATTCACTCGATCCCTGCTGTCGAAACCTGACATATGCTTCCTTCTTCTTCACCAAAACCTCAATTTCTATAGTCACCCAGCATTCCTACAGCGTTCACCCTAACAGGAACATACTGTCTCTGGACTCTCATTATCTTTATTTATCCAGTTCCCAATTTAGAACGTTCCTGTTGAACCTATTCTCACTGCTGCTTCAGGCGGCATGTTCCAGATTACAACAACTCGCTGTGAGAAAAACCTTCACCCTATTCCCACCCACGCATTCCCCCCCCCCCCCCCACCCCCCCCCCCCCTCACTCGACATCTTTACTACCCGCCCTCTGGAGACTGACCCTCCCACCCAAAGATATATTTTTTACTGAGCGACTCTGTTGAAACTTCCTGATTTGGAACACTACGATTATATTTCCTCTTGACTTTCTCTGGCCAACAGAGAACAATCCCAGCTTCTCCAGTCTCTCTCTGCCTCACCTTTAGGGGAGTCGATGGCCTAGTGATATTCTCACTGGACCATTAACCCAGAGACCCCAGGTAATGTTCTGAGGACCCACTCCAGCAGATGGTGGAGTTTGAATTCAATAAAAATCTGGAATTAAGAGTCTAATGATGACTGTGAATCCATTGTCGATTGTTGGGAAACCCATCTGGATCACTAATGTCCTTCAGGGAAGCAAACTGCCATCCTTACCTGGTCTGGCCTACATGTGACTCCAGACCCACAGCAATGTGGTTGACTCTTAACTGCCTTCTGGGCAACTAGGGATGGGCAATAAATGCTGCCTAGCCAGCAAAGCCATTATCCTGTGAATGAATAAAAAAATGTGAGGTCCCTCATCCCTTGTCCCACGTCTGAATATCCCTCCCTCCCCACCCTGTTAAAGACTTGCCATCCTTCCTGAAGTGTAGTTTCGATATTGACACAACCTGCCACCCATGGGGTTACTCCCTGCTGCTGGCCCAAGGTATTCAAGTTTAGTCTGTTTAATGAACTCACCTGGTCGAGTGATCTGATGACTGAGTTCGAGAGACTGTCAGAAAGAGCCACTTCAGAATGATTCAAACAAAGGATGAAGCTGAACCATTAGTTTTTAGCCTGACCTGCTGCAGTTACAACAAACACAACAGGCTGGCTCTATTCCAGGTAAAATACTGTTTCAGTTTCTATTCTGAGTCATTCAGCTCGTCTTGCCTGCCAAATACTTGATGGTTATTGGCTGACCAGATCATATGTCCCTTAAGGTGTTTTTATGTATTAACTACGTGGTGTACAGGCTGAGAGAAGGGAGAGGGATAAGTTGCTCTCATAGTGACTGACTCTCAAACGATGGGCTGAATGGCCTCCTGCTGGGCTGGTGACTCTCTGATCCAGTCACTCAGGATGAAGAGAATTTAATTCCCAAACTGAGTGGATTGGGTTCAATCTCAGCTGCATCCTTCTCACAAAACATTACAATGAGGCACATTCCTCATATTTATGTCCATTTTAAACGGGGCCTGGTCATGGGGCTGGCGGGGTTTCATCAGGCCAGAGTTTCTTCCCCCAGTCAACCATCTCCCTCCCCCTCCTCCTCACTCACCTCCCCTTCCCTTTCCCCCTCACTCTTCCCTTCAATTTCCTCCTCACACCCTCCCACTGAGTTTTTGGCCGGGGGGAGTAAATTGAAATTCTTTTTGTCTTGTATCCTCTGTGCAAATCCATCTGTCTCAGTTTGAAAAATAATGGTTGATGTGTGGCTAAAGAACAGAGTTCATGATGTCCATCTTCCTTTGCATTTCTGGAAGATTCTGTCACTGATGTGTGGGCAAGGTGTCTGGGCCTACACTTGGACTCTCGCACCATGAGGACATCAGAGGATTGTCTTGAGCCAGCTGCCATTTGTTTCCACCTCTTTCTCTCTCACTGTCTCTCTCTCTCTCCCTCAGTCTCTAGCTCTCTCTCCCAGTCTCTCTGTCTTTCTTCCTGTTTCTCTCTTTCTCTCTGTCTCTCTCACTGTCTCTCTCAACCTGTCTCTCTCGCTCTCGCAGTCTCTGTGTCTCTCCCTCTATCTCTCTCTGCTTGTCTCCCTCTGTCTCTTTCTCTTGCTCTCTCTTTCTCTCTCTCTCTATCTCTCTCCGTCTCACTCTCTCTCCCCTGTCTCTCCTTCTATCTCTCTGTCCCTTCTCTCTCTGTGGCTGCTCTTGTTCACTGGAAACTCTTGACATCATAAGAGACATAGACCTGTACAGCACAGAAATAGACCCCTCAGTCCAACTTATCCATGCCAACCAGGTATCCTAAATTAATCTAGTCTCATTGGCCAGCATTTGGCCCATATCCCTCTGAAGTCTTCCTATTCATGTACCCATCCAGATGCCTTTTAAATGTTGTAAATGTACCTGCATCTTCCTCTGGCAGCTCATTCCATGCACACACCACCCTCTGTGTGAAAAAGTTGCCCCTTAGGTTCCCTATAAATCTTTCCCCTCTCACCTTAAACCTATGCCTCCAGTTTTGGTCTCCCTCACCCCAGGGAAAAGACCTTGGCTATTTACCCTGTCCATGATTTTATAAACCTCTATAAGGTCACCCCTCAGCCTCTGATGCTTAGGGAAAATAGCCCCAGCCTATTCAGCCTCTCCCTATACCTCAAACCCTCCAACCCTGGCAACATCCTCGTAAATCTTTTCTGAACCCTTTCAAGTTTCACAACATCCTTCCTATAGCAGGGAGACCAGAATTGCACGCAGTATTCCAAATGTGGCCTAACCAATGTCCTGTACAGCCGCAACATGACCCTCCCAACTCCTATACTCAATGTACTGATCAATAAAGACAAACATACCAAACACCACCTTCACTATCCCATTGTTGATGAAGGATTGCCATTTTGGATGTGACTAAGTCTTTGCTTCTTGTGTTGATATGAAATAAACAGATCTTCATGGAGGCTTCAACACTGTCTTTGAAACATTTCCTTTGGGTTCTGTGTGAATGGGCAGTCCCTTGGGATTGAAGTGAACTTGCTTGCAGTTTGGGTTCGATCGGTTTGATGAGAAATAGATCAGTCGAGGGCAGCACTTGTGTCATATACAGGTGCGGGGGGTGGTGTGTCTTTGGCGATCACTCCCACATTCAGGCTGACAAGTGACCGGGAACACTCAACACACAAATGCCAGGCAATGATCATCTCCAACAAGTAACAAGCTAACCACCACGGTAGGATTTGACCCATATCCTCAGCCTAGTAATGTCTGGATCACTATCTGCAGTGACAGTGCCGTGTGACCAGAATCAGGAAGATTGTGAATCTCTGGAAGGGTATGATAGGCAGTGAAGGAACAGAGCTGGACATCGTCATCACCTACAACCTGTTCTGGCAGAGAGACAAGGTCCAGACTTGGTCCTAATCACTAACACTTCCAGGAGTCAGTCACTGTCTGAGCAGGGCTTCACTTTAAGAACAGTAAATATCAAAGGTCTGAAGGATCCCACTAAAGTCACCCTCCTCAGTGAGAACCTACTGGCCAAACTGCCAACCTCCATCCGCCATCACCCAGGACAGCCCCTGTCCCAGGTGGGTCCTCAAATTCACTGCAACATACACAGAGGGGGCTTGGTCTCTCAACCAGGAAACACTGTGACTGGTTTGGCCATGACACACCATGACAGACTGGAAACGCCACCACAGCTCAGTCAAATAACCCTGATAGGACCATCAGAAATATGAACAGGAGTAGGCCATTCAGTCCCTTGAGCCTGCTCCACCATTCAATAGGATCATGGCTGATCCAACATTCCTCACATCCACTTTCCCACTCTTTCCCCATAACCCTTGATTCCCTGACTGATCAAGTATCTATCTATCTTAGCCTTAAATACACACAAGGACTCTGCTCTCTGTGACAAAGACACACAGCCCTCTGTGGGAAGAAATTCCTCCTCATCTCAGTCCGAAAGTGGCACCCCCTACAGGCTCCTGATGGCAGTGGGTCAGCATTAAACCCATCACACAACACAACGCTCCAAAGAAGGGGCACCGGACTCAAAATGTTCAGTATGTTTCTCTCTCCACAGATACTGCCAGATCTGCAGAGTTTCCCTGTTTCTGATTTCCAGAATCCATGGGATTTTGCTTTCATTTAAGTCCCTGGAACAGACAGATGTTTTCTCATGTGGAACAATCTAGAACAAGAGATCATCATTTTAGGATAAGGGACAGCAGATTTAAAACGGAGATTGAAAAGAAATTATTTCTTTCAAAGCGTCGTTAATCTTTGGAATTCAGTACCGATCAGTGCACTGAATGCTGGGACATTGAGTAAATTTAAGAAGGGGACAGACAGAGTTTTGATGAGTAATGTGTTGAAGGGTTATGGGAGCAGGCAGGGAAGTGGAGTTGAGGTTGAGATGAGATCAGCCACGATTACATTAAATGGCAAAGCAAGCTCGAGGGGCTTGTTTTGTGTTCTTACAGAATTCCTGCTAAGATTCCCTGGCATTTCTTGGAGGAGAGTTCCCATTTGCACAGTCTCTAGTTGGATATTCTGATGATAGCCAAGCCTAGGCCAGCTGGATTCTCACAACCTCCTTCCCTGATACCTGCCTCTTGGAGGATGCGCTTCTCTCCTACTTGATTCACAAGCTCCACCAGAGACAGCAGTGATGGTGCGTCCCTCCAGCACTGGGTCCACTTCAGTTTTCCCAAAGTGGGGAACCACTGGCCAATGGCCTTCCAGTTTAGTGTCAGCTCTGACATATTTCCCAAATCCCGGAGAGTTACAAATTGTGTTCACTGGTCTATTAGTGTCAGCTTGTTTTTGGGATAGAGAGCTTCTGAGATATGGGAAGTGATGGGCATTTTCCATAGCCTAGCGGGAATCTCAATGGGTGGTTTCATGTTTGGGATGTTGGTGTGGATTGGTAAATATTCACCAATCTGAATACACCCACTATCTCCATGTGCATCCTCAGTACTGTTTATATACTTTGTTGACAGAAGGATATAAAATTATGAGAGGCATGGATAGGGTGGAAATATCAAATACTGGGGGCATAGGTTTAAGGTGAGAGGAGGAAAGTTCAACGGTGATGTGCGAGGCAAGTTTTTTTACACAGAGGGTGGTAGGTGCCTGGAACTTGTTGCCGGGGGAGGTGGTAGAAGCAGATACAATAGCAACGATTAAAGGGCATTTTGACAGATACATGACTAGGCAGGGAATACAGGGATACAGACCATGGGCAGGCAGATGGGATTAGTTTAAAATGGCATCGTGGCTGGCACAGACATAACGTGCCAAACAGTCTGTTCCTGTGCTGTACTGTTCTATATTCTATGTTTAAGCACAGTGGTAGTTCTATCACAGACACAGCTGTTGTGATATTTTTGGCCTCCAGCCTGTGGTTGAGGTTGATAAGGTTACCATCAGTATGATAGCTTATTACCACACCTGGGTGGACGCTGTCAGTGATACTGCGACAAAGATAAAGCATCATACCAGGTCAATGGGACCTCTCTGATCGATGCCTAGTGAGACAGAAAGATGGTCCATTCTGTGGAAACAGTTCCCCTTGACCCACTCGATCTGTTCCCGTTAATACCTTGAAGAATGAGCTCAAATCACCCTCCCTACCTTCCACAGGGAATATGCCCTTGGTGCTTCTGGGTGAATTTCAACTTTGGAATTTCATACCTGAATTCCAGGATGACAATGATCTTGAAAATGTAGGAAGCTGTTAGGAGGCTATGGACTTATGACATAGGCCATTCAGGCTATTGAGCCATGCAATGAGATTGTAGCTGATCTGATAATCCTCAATTCTACTTTCCTGCCTTATCTCCATAAATCTTGATTCCCTTATGGATTAATAATCAGTCTATCTCAGCCTTAAATATACTCAATGACCAGCCTCAACAGCCCTCTGTGGTAAATAATTCCACAAATTCACTCCTCTCTGAGAGAAGGAGTTCCTCCTCATCTCTTTCTTCTATGGGTGATCCCTTACTCTAAGATTATTCCCTCTGGGCCAAGATTCCCCAAGTTCCTCAGCCAAGTGGTATTCTCATAATCCGGAGACCCAGGTAACGACCTGGGGACTGGGTTCGAATCCTGCTACAGCAGATAAGATAAGGCCTGATGTGTGAGATTA